GCAGTACAGTTATCCCCATCTTTTGGCAACCATGACTGAGTTGATCACTCTTTTTCTGGTTGAGTGGCGGTTTAGGTTTTGCACACTGTGGTGATTGTTAGGGATGCGAACAAGTTGAGTTTTAGGGTTAAGTTTGCAATGCAATTCATGATGGAAAACATGGGCCATGTTTTTGAAAGTATCTTCTGACCTGTATGATCTGTAGTAGCATCACAAGGATTTGTATTTCAATGACTAGGTGCTGCTTGTAACCTTTAGTTGCAGGTAGTTGAAAGAAGAATAACTGAGCACAGTATTTGTGGCATATAATTAATGTGTCAGCAGATGCCGAGCAATCAAGTCTACTATTTCTTGCAGTATTATGTGGATTTGGCATGTGATTTTTTAAAAACTTAGTACATGATTATGATATGATGTCTCAGTTTCACCCCAAACACATTATGTTGGTCATTTGGTTATGTTTATGAATTCTTTAGTGTATAATCAACTAAAGAAGGTTTACTCTTGGAGATTCTGACACACTATCACATAACATTGCAACCATGCTTGCTTGGGTACAGCTATTCTGTTATATTTTGCTCAAAGATATTGCTGTAACTTATATATGAGTTTTGCTATAAAGCTATTAATATTCTGTGTAAACTTGCCAGTAAATCTGTACTGGGGAGAGCTGCTAATGTAAAGGATTCCTATTGGTTGAATACTCAACATGGTTTTTCAACTTCTGGACCAGATCTTGTGGCAGATGGTATGGATTGAATAGAAGTCTAGTTGTGTTTTCAACTTAACAAACAATGCATTTGTTCACCACCTTTTTTTCCTAGCGGGGAGCACATCTATTGGAAGATTTGCAAACTACACTGTTTTTAAGGGCAAAGCTGCCTTATCGATGAAACCAATTCTTCCAGCTATCCGAGAACTGGATGTATGTTCTATTTGTACACCTATTCTGCACTTCTCAGTATAGGTTTTGGTTTGGACTTTTAACTAACAGTATGCTTGTAGCAGTCTAGGAGTTCTAGAGTATACAAAAATGGCTCTGTTATTTTGACATTTTGGCCTGCTGTTGGACAAAGAAAGTATGATTGGGAAAAGAAGCAGGTAAAGAATGTATTCCTAATTCTTTTTTGTTCTTATTGGAGCATTTCTATTTGTTGTTTTACTTGTCTAGCTATTATTAGCAAAATTAAGGTGGAGTTCTATAAGATTTTGTTTGCTGAACCACAACTTTGTTGATTTATTTTGGATCGTTGCTTGTTCATAGGTCTTTGCTTTGTCAGCTACTGAAGTTGGAAGCTTGATTGGCCTAGGTCCTACTGAATCTTGTGAATTTTTTCATGATCCTTCGATGAAATCGAGGTTCCTGATATTTGACCTTATATTGTTGAGAGCATTTTTATTTTACATGTTGTTTACTTCAAATTATACTCATACTTTCATTTAGTAATTGAATTGCAGTTTAGAAGGCCAGGTGAAGAAATCACTATCAATTTCCCCATTGGGCAATGACAATGGATACTTTCTAAACTTATGTAAGTCATGTATGGTTTCTTAGTTAATGTATAATATCACAATGAGTTTCTTGTTTTGATTATTTCCTCCTCCCCTAGTTATCTTGTGGTAATTTTTAGCAGAAATCTCAGAAGATATTATTGTATTAAAATAGAAGCCTCTGTTGCTTCCGGTCTCTAAGAATGACTGATATTTCAAGCTGCTCAAGTTACAGGGAGATTAAGCTAATCAATCATACTATAGAAACTGTCGTTGAGTTTTCTAGTGTTGACAAAATATTGGTTGATAGTTATTGGAAATCTGTTTGCAGAACGTGTCCAATTTGCACTAGCCTGGTGATCTTTTAAGTTTTAACACCACATGCTGATACAAGGCTTTTAAGGTTATGGTCTCAGATAAACCAAGAAAATATTTTTCAGTCTCATTTCCCCTGTCATATACATCAGGTTTGATTTTTTTTTTTTTTAGTATGCTTGGACAACCTATACCATGTTAAACAAGAGATATGGCAAGATTGTCTTCCATACTATACTTTTATGTAGTGAGTGCTCCAAGAAGTTACAAAGCACCACACTATGTTGTCCATGAGCATTACTATATATCTTGTATATGTAGTAATTTTAAGAATTTGTATGAAATAGTTCCATTGTATTTTCATGGTTTTGACTTATGTGCTATTCCTTCTCCATTTTGATAATACTAATCTTCCAATTACTGTAACTGTAAATTGTTGGAAAAAGGATGTTATAGAAAACTAAGTTGTTTTTGGAACCCATTTCCAAAAAGTGGAAAGTCCTGATTGCTGTGAAACTGGTAGTGGTTTTTGGAACTTTGCATTTGGTTAGCATTAATCGAGCTTTTACAGGGTCAATTTGCTTACATCTTCCAGTTAATGATTACTTGCCTAGATGAAAAACTGCAATACCTCTGTCATTGAAGCATTCAGTTTACAAAACATTTATGGACAAGTTTAATCTATTTCCACAAAACTAAAATAGAAAAAACTAAATGAAAAATTAGTGGTCTTGCCCTACACGCATCCTTGTCCTAGAGAGGCACACATTGTCTAGTAAATTGCAATTCAATACAGAGCAACTTTGAGTTGAAGAATCAAGAGAGAAACATGATATTTAAAAGAAATTGGACATTTGTATACCAAGATCGAATGTACTTTGTATCTGACCTTTTCTTTACATTTTGGAGCACTTGGAGAGGCAGAAATAACATCATTTTCTGTAATTTTTGTTTTTATTTGTTTATGATCAATATTTGGCTTCATCTACTCCTATTTATTCCCGTTAATGAAAAATTTTCTTTTCTGCAAATTTGCAAACTAACATCATAAGAGATTGAACCGACAGCTGTTGTAAACAACATCCAGAAGACGAATGAGCGACTTTCAGTTCCAATTACCAAGGCTGAATTCACAGTTATTCGCACAGTATTAAGTGTAAGATTCTCGATGTGATGCTGCAGTTTCTTTCTATCATGAATTCTGCAAGATTTTCTTTTGATGAAACTGTAGATCTAACCAAAACATAAAATGAAGCCAATCCTTGATATATAGTAGAATTTGGGTGCCTTTTTTTTTTCATATTTTAGATGACGCATGACGTGCTGCATCTCAAATGTGTAAATATGCATGCATAATCATAGAATTAAATCCCACTCCTGCAACATAATTTGACAGAATAATTGTCCTTTAACAACACCTGCAATGACAGTTCTAAGCCCGGATGAAAATGATGAAGTACATTAGGTCATTGACAACCAATGAAAAACTTTGTTAGATTTCAAGAGCATGGATTTTAACTGCTTTCAGTATAGGGATTGGATCGACACACATGGCTCATATGGCAAAAGATTGACTTTTTGTCTTTTAACAACATCAGTGACTCAACTTTCTACATCGCTGGTTTAATTATGCAAATATCTAGCATGTTATAGACCTTAAGATTTAAAGCTCTGTGCTGTATACAAATTGTAGGTTAGATGAAATTTGAGAATTAGTTATGTAAACATGTGAGGTATGTGTAGAAGACTCTTTGTGAAGGACTGGACAAGTTACAGATTTATTAGGGTGTATCTGCAATTTTTTGTACTGTGATACAAGTTGGTTGTCGTGTTTCTAACATACATGACAACCCTAAAGTATTGGTTGAAACTGCAAGTTTTTTGTACCTTGAGACAACATAGTTGTGGTGCTTCAAACATACATCACAACCACAAAATATGGGTTGAAATTCTTTTAAGGCTGCTGCATACCTATTAATTCGTAAACAAATTAGTATTCTAACATACAAGGTGCATTTTTTTTTTTTGTAGTATGTATTGCCACATATCATGGGTTGGCCCCAGGCCATGATGAGAGCACAACAACCAACCACTGAGACAAAAACGTCAAAGAGCCGACCAGATCCCATTTTTGAGTGGGGAAGGTAACTCAGCACACTTTTCCAGCCTAGTGCAGTCTTTGTTCCCAAAGAAACAGTGGTGTCGGCTTATTGTCAGCGTAGAACTTGCATTGTTGGATGCTCAGTATGTCATTTGAACTTGCTGGACAATGGAGGTAGTTGACAGAAGTGGTGATTTATGGTTCTGTATTGGGTTTCCTTTACAAAACCATGAACCGAGGATGCTTGCAAGTGCAATTTGTGTTAGTTTGTGGCCATGATATCTGCAGAAAACTGTACTCTTTTGTTTGGTAGGATTACTTAGATATCATATTTGCTGCATGCACCATCATGTTTCGAGAGGCCAAACAGGATCACGAGGACAGGAGATTTTGCATCAACTTTTTAGATATGAGTTGAGCTTTTACTGCTGCATGATATGATCTAGGAAGTCATGCTATGTATTTCTGGTGCATATTGGATGCTGCATGTCTTGTTTATCATCATGTGCTACTACCCTGGTGAAAGGAGGGGGGGGGGGGATGGGATTTTGGCATGCGTGTTGTATGCCATAGCAAGCCATGAGAGAAATCTCAAGGAAGTCGTGTTTCTTCCTTGCTCGATGAAGACTGGCACTGAAAAGACTTGAGGTTTAGTTAGAGCTTCAGCTGAGTAGTAGTACGTGGGTGGTGGTGGTGGTGGTGGGTCTGAGGAGCCACAGGTCATGACCACCCTCCCTCGACAAGAATGCTAACCTCGAGAACGACGAGTGTGGAAACCATTCACACACACAAAAGGGCATCCAAATCCTTAAGAGAGAGGAAAACATCACGAGGCAGGAGGCTTTTATTGCAAGCTGTTTTGGTCAGGGAGGAAGATGTACGGTTGGAGTTTGAAACGAAAGAGAGACCGAGAGAATCTCTACATCGAAGTCGCTGGTGGCATCCGGACAAGCTGTGTTAGACATCCGGTGAAGTCGGTCCTCAGCCTGCCTAGAACCACCGAGACAACCCGACTTGGTCTCGAACCTGAGAAAGACGCAGGAGCTGGAACCGCCCCCTCCGCTTGTATGAATCACGGAGACAACCTGACTTGGTCTCGAGCCTGAGATAGACGTAGGAGTTGGAACTGTCCTTGGTGAAGCCGAGCTGAGTTTTAACGAATATTAATTATTATTTTTTTCTTTGATCGTGATGGGGATTAGAGGAGTTACCCCGTGCTTTATCCCTCCGATGTCTAAATTTTTTTTAATATTATTATTGTTTTTTATTGAAAAAAAATCCTCTATTTACAATCGGGACCTCTTAACAGCTTCCGATTAGAAAACCTTGTCTTAATTCCTTCTTGATCCAGAGAATATTTGTCAATTGTGATTTATAGATAAAATTCGGTACCGCTATCTGCTAGATCAATATTCACGTGTTGAAGTTTCAAGTTTTTGTTCTCACCAACAAAAAGTATCGGCCGTCTAGCTCCGTACAGGACCCCGCCGGGGGCCAATTTACTTCAGCGATGAGGGCACATGAAATTATTTACACGATAGCGAAGAAAGCCAAGCCTTGATGTCTCAAACGATTGACCCTTTATCACGGAAAGTGTCTTAAGCCAGACTGGCACAACAATATAAGAGTTCATCTATCTTGTAGCATGATATCTTCATCCAATTGCTTCGTGCTGCCCTCCCCTCTGCTGTCTCGCAGAGCTCAGATAGCCCGTTGCTTCTTTGGGCTCGAAGGCGCAGCGTTAAATCTGCTGATGAGGAACTTAAAACAAGGAATAAAGACGACGTAAAGGGCACCGAGGATGAAAGGTGCTGCAACGATCCAACCCAACAACTGCAAGAACATGTTTAACGCAAAGTGTTTTGTTAGTCAAAACATAATTCTTATTATTAAGGACAAACTACTTAACTTATAACGAGCAAAATGTGCGGTTGACGAACCGCATGGAGTACACTGATTAGGACGTCTCTTGAGGCTTCACCGGTTACCACCTTCATCAGTGCATCGGATGTCAAGGGGAAATGAGGACCGCCAGAGATGACTTCGCCGAGGCGCAGGAATGGTACAACCAGACTGAGAAGAAACCATAAGTGATAGCTATCAGAATTCATAAAACTAATACAAGGAAATCAAAGCTAAAAAGGCAACCTTTTCTTTTTCTGTTTTATTATGGGAAACAAGGTCTAAGCCTCTAAAAAGATCATTTTGCACCACAGAAAGAGAAAGTAATTTTATTAAATGCCGTGAGGGGATATCAATAAGCCTGTGAAGGGCACCAGAGCCCACACACAAGGAGTAGCAATTCACAAACATGCATATCGTGCATGAACATATTATTGCGTCTACTTGCGTTTGAACACTAGATGGGAGAAAAATGCCTCCCAGGATCAATAATCTTGATAGTAATTCGATAAAAATAACAATCATTGTGTTTAGAAAAAGCTATTAGTGCATTAAAACTACCAGGGAATTTTTAAATCAAGATTGTGCATATACGAAACATATAAGCCTTACTGTGTTTGCAGTGTTATCAGAGAACACAGGAGTGAGTGAGAAACAGTGAAAGTAGGAGCAAGTCATAAACAGAGAGAGAAACAAGCAAGTCTGGTGATTAGTATGGAGGAACACGATTGATTCAATGAAAAGTGAATATTTGGTTTGGTGCCGGGCGAAAATTACCTCAACTCAATTGGGGTCGCAACAAAGTTGGCAAGCATGACACTTGGAGCATGGCAACGGTTTCCAATTAATCCAATGGCCGCACCACAAAGAAGAACCGTGGTCCCTGGTAACAAAAGAAAAGTTTAGTAGAGTAGAAGTATTTTAGACTATAATGTGCTTATGGCATGTGTGCATGCACATCAGAACAATTTTGAACCAAGATTGCTTTCCAATCTGCACATATCGGCAATTACTTGTCATGGACTATACCAACCATAGAGGTCAAAAACAATCTCCTGGTCCTGCAGTATCAGAGTCGATAAAGAAATTAAATATCTTAATGAGATGGAGAATCACACACAACAGTTACTTCAGAACAGCTATCGCGGCTGCATTTTTCTTATCCAAATGAACAAATTCTCAGATTTGTATCAGAATCACAATAACACAACTAGGTTCTTACATAGACAAACCTACAAATTCCGTTAACAAACACTAGCTACAAGAATCTTGACTTCAAACCTGGAGAAAGAAACAAGTTCAGTTGTACCATTCCGAGCCCTTGAAACAAATTCATGGGAGGTACCATCATAATCTGGTCAGGTAAGATAACTCATCATTAACTTGTTGAGCCTTGACTATTAGCTCAAGATTTTGGAGGTATCACAGAACTTAACATCTTCATTAAGGCCCAAAGATAATCCAGAATCAAACCCTCGCTGGAAAATAAAGTTGTCATCCTACTCATGGTAGCTGACCTTAGCGTATTCTGCTCTGATGCCATTTGTCATGATTCAAATAGATAAATGACCAATTACTTATTGAGTCTAAACCATCGGCCCAAAATCAAACGTAGGACTAAATTTAGAAGTTTTACAAGTACATCCTGGTCTCTATCATCCCTAATGACATGCTGTGTGGGAGCATGCACAGAGTCATTCAATTTACTAGTTGGAGCACATAAAAAATAATTATGTTAACAAGCTTTCATGCCATCAACCGGTTGCCGTATTTTCCAACTTGGAAGCCAAGCTTATAGTGTACAATATCCATCTAAGAATCTTATATCTCTTCAGCAGTACGACGATATTGAATAAGTTTGAAAATGGTTTATCAGTGCCATCGATCATTATGCAAAGACTGACATAAGCATACTTTGGATCTTACCACAAATGGGAAACACTCCAAGGGTGACGCCAAGAGCAGTTGAAAATGCCAGTTGCTTCGGTTCTGCACCCCTGCAGGCAATTATCAACTCGACATCATTCAAAGCTACCATTGTAGCTGAAATCAGCACCATAATGCACAATTTGCAGTAAGGCAACAAGAGTATGGACGAATCACAGGATCAGCAAGAAACACTTGAGGATGTTATAGAATATAAACGGAGATAAAGATCCGAAGAGAAAATAACAGATCAAGATATCTCATGAGACCTCAAAAAACTCAGATCTTGAATTGCAACATCAATCTTACGACGGCTGGGAAGTCGAAAAGCACCGATTATTACGACGACCACACGGCAACAGGCACAATCAATTCGAATCTTGCAATGCACAAAACCCAAAAGCTGCTAAGCTCGAAAGAGTACCTTCTAATGATTTGCATAAGTGGATCCACGACCTTCGTCTTGAGCCACGCCGTCAAACCCACTCCCCAAATCGGCATCTTTACCACCAACTCTCCCGAAAAAAGGATCAATTCTTTTTCTCGCTCTTTTTCTTGTAGCACTGCACTGATTCAATAACTTCCTCAAGAGGAATAAACAAAAAGAAATCCAAGAAAAAGCTTCGAAGCAGACCAAATGACGCTAAGGACGGACGGAAACAAGGCTCCGCAGGATCAATTTCGAGACGGCATACGAGCTTCGACGAGGAAGAAGGTAGGGATTTTGGGCTGCGGACAGGGTAAGATATCCCTTCTCCGATCCTTTTCTTGATGACCTTTTCGTGCTCATACTGAGAAGACCCGTTGTTTCGTTCGGCGGTATATTTGGGGAACGGACGGACACCAAAAGAATCCATACCCGTGGACCCCGCGTCATATCTCTGAGAGAGCCCGCATAAGTGAGGAAGTTACGTGTATCTGTTTTGTGTACTCTCCGCTACAGGAAGAGAGGGTTAGGTTATCGGACCTCCTTTTGCGGGTCGGATCATGAGCTCAGTAGTACTATCTGTACCCATTCGAACGGGACACGAGTTGAATCCCCTGTTAGAGGCTTATCGGATTCTTTGGTTGACACGTTTCGTACCCGCATCCGTTTTCCAAGCCCCATCGACCGGAGAGCTTTGACTCGAAGAATTCGGCCTGTGGAGATATCCGTGGACGGGAGCTTTCCCTCTTGAGGTTCTTCTTGGGTTGATCACCGAGAGCGACAGCCAACGATCTTGGGAAGCAAGTTTGGAGCCTTTCTGTGGCTTTCGGAGAAAGCGTTAAATTGAAAGGTATGCGAGAAAAAAATGAGGAAACGATGTTGAACTCTCATCCCCCTCGGTTCAGTGCAGGAATGGAGACCGCATGCAGTCTCATCCAAAGAAGCTGTTTACAGTGATGATTACTGGTCGGCAGCAGCTGTCAACGATCGTGAGGCTTCGGAGAGGTCAGTGGAAACAAAGGCAGCAGCTCCGGCTCGGCGTTCTGCGATCTTGACCGGGGCGAAGGGTGCAAGTAGAACCGCCTCTCCTTGATGGCCTTCTCCTCCTCCTCGTCGTTCAGCTCGTCGCATATGCCAAGCCCGGCGAAGCCGGTAGAGGGCGACACCAGCGCGGTCATCAAGGAAGGCGACAGCACCGCTGGACCGACGGCGGGCTTCATCACGGGGAGCTTGAGCCGGGAGCCTCGCCTACGTTCATGGAGCCGCTTGAGGCCTGCCACCTTGGCGGGGGCGAAGGGGGCAGCGTCGGGCGGCTGCTCGTGCGGTCCGGTGAGCCGCTGGACGAGCTCCTTGAAGGTGGCGGCGTCGGTCTGGACGAAGGTGGTGCGGCATCGCTGTGGTGCTTCTCCGCCATGCGGCTTCTCCATGGATACTTTGTTGCGTGAAGCGATAGGCTTTTGGTGTCTGCATGCGGTAAGAGAAGATGGCATTATAATATATATATATATATATATATATATATATATATATATATATATATATATATATATAT